TCGATACACACGACTCAATATTAAAAACAGCAAAAAAAAAAAAGAAAAAAAGAAAAAAACCAAAAACAAACAAACAAACAAAACATGGATTTCACATTTGGTAAATGGCTACATTATAATTCAAATCATACAAACAGGTATTAATCTATTTGCTTGGTATCCAAACATACAAATTAGAACAAAAAATATATTTACAACTTTTTCCAAACATTATTTATGCAAGATCATATAATTACAATGTACTAATGATGCAGATCAATATTATACGAGATATCTTTAATGGTGTATAAGCAGAGGTCGGAATCCTTTACTTTCTAGCTCACTTATTTTCCCATGTTACATTAAAAGCAAGATTCTTTTTCTCAGAATAATATCTGCACACGTCTTACTGTAAACATTTTCACTCATATGGTGACAACATCGCTTGTCATCAGTAACTACACAGCCTTTAGACAGTGAGGGTTCTTTTTCTTGATAGCACCTTCTGCAACATGATGAGATCTTGGGTTTACGGGCTTATCCAAAGAACCAGTCTCTTTGTTCCACAGTTGAATTCGAACCCGCGATGTAAAGATAAAATCCGTACTTGGCGACTCTAACAACTGTGCCGCGAGAGCGACAATAAAAAAATGCATTGTAGGAATGTATTTTTTTTTTTAAATATATTCTGGTGTATAGGAATGAAAAACATGTCCTTTTGTGAATACATCACTGCTATCATGTATACTGAAGAAAAAAGAAAGATATAGTAGAAATAATTTATTTTTAATTCATTAAAATTGATAGAATATAAACAATATTTGGTTATAATAACAAGATACCACTGTCTCACAATGTTCGTTTTAGAAAAGTCATTTTAATACACACATGGGCCTAGACCAGTTCTTTGAACAACCCTGGGGTTTTAATTGCATTTCACAAGTCAGTACCGTGTATGACCCCCGCCTGCATTCATTACTGCAACGCATCTGCGACACATAGAGTAAACATATCGTCGAATCACGTGTTCCGGGATATTACATGTATTCCACTCCTCTTCTAGTGCTGTGGTCAGTTTCAAGAGTTTCTGTGGCTGAGGTCGGCGCATCCCTAATCTGTTACGGAACTCATCCCATTCCAAACATGTTCAATTGATGAGATATCCATAGATTATGAGGGCCAGTCAAGAAAATCAACGTTGTTTTTAGTAAGGAAATCTCTGTTTGTTCGAGCCTTTTTTGCTGTCGCATTGTCCTGCTGGAGTGTTAAACCAGGACCATTGGTGCGAAGATACGGCGGTACAACTGGAGAGGGAATTTCATCTCTGTATCTTTGAGCTGTCAGCGTACCGTTCACTACAAGTCTTGTGCGGTTTCCTCCACAAAAACCTCCCCAAACCATTACATTACCACCCAAATCTGTCTACTTCCGTCGCACAGAAACCAGCAAAACGCTCCCCACGTCTTCTCCAAACACTGGTTCTTCCATCAGCAAATTTCTAACTAAAAGGAGACTCATCACTGAACAGTACCAGTCTTGCAACCTTAAGCTCAAGTGAACCTGTGCCAGATTCCGTCACGAGGTCTTATGTCGATCTGTTAGTTCTGTCCCTTTGTAAGGTCTTCTGGCTCTTAAACCGCAATGCTTCAGTCGGTTTCGCACTGTCTGAGGGCTAATCCTACTCCCTAACGCATCGTGAGCAGAATCTACCGCAGTTAAAAATCTGTTTCGCAGATGGAGCAAACGGATTTGACGATTCTCCCTAACTCTAGGTCTTCCACTGTGGGGCTGGTCATCAGTAGATACAGTGGTTTGGAAAAGTCTCCAGAGAAGGCTTATTGTCTTCTGAGATTTTCCAACTGTCGCTGCAACTGCGTTCTGGGACATTCTTGCTTGGAGCATCCCTACGGAACGCTCACATTTATCTTTGGACAAACAGGGTATTTCAAAAAAAAACGCAGAAATTTAACATAATTTTAGATTTTCCTTGAGCACTAATGACAAGGATTTTCTACGCCGAGAATTGTACAGATACAAGTGGTCTGACTTTCTCGAGCAAGGGCTTTTTCCTATTGTGCTCACATAGAGTTTAAAGGTGTTACGCTTGAATGATCAGGGTTTTTTCATCAGACTTGAACGTTGCTTAGGTCTCCTACATAGGGCATTTTGTTGTAAAAGTTTACGTTCAAATCTAAGTAAAACAACTATATTTTAAGATATATACCTTTCTTTTTTTGTTCAGAATATATGACTCTTTAAAAATTTACTTTCAGCATCTTAAAATTCATCAAACTGTCGAAAACATTATCTGCCAACGTTGTGAACATTTCTACTGTAGGATTTTTGTAAAACATTCAACGATATTATATTTTTCTATTGAATAAAAACCTATACCATTCAGAAAAGTCAAATATGCTCATAACAGTCATTACTGATCAATAGGTAGGGAACATGGCGGTGCTGGCCTGTCAAGACGGAATGCTTACTCCTCTATCATAGATTCCATCTGATTCTGCCTATTTTTTCCCAGAGTTTAATACCTTTGACATAATTTGTTTTGTTTACTGGATTTATGAGATTAGTCACATGAGGTTTCCATATATTCTGATTAATTAAATTTAGAAATTGATGCTCAGTCATCATACTATAAATTAACTTACGTTAATGGCAAATGTATATGAGTGGGGAGGGGGTTCTTTTCTTGGGGAAATTCTTCAAAACATATTCAAAACAGTTTCAGGAATGTATTTTGCAAAGATCGATTTTTAAACAAAACGATGGATTAAATGTTTAAACACCTCCAGTGTACTCGATCTCACCTCTGATATATTCAAGGTCCATGTTTGCTGTGCTCAAGGTAGGTATTATTTCAGTAGGTTTATGACCTATATAACTGATCAATACCTTTATTTTTTGTTAAACTTTTCATATATTAACAACGTTTATGCAAGAAAAATTCATTATCGTCTTCGAAATGATGATAGCAATCATTATGATTCTAAACCAATGCTACTAATTTTTTTGTTATCAGAATTTTATCATTGGAATGATGCTAAGATTTTTAGTTTATCATTGGTATAAAGATTATATTTTAAAAAGTAAAAATTGATTAAATATACAAGTAGTTAAAATCAATAAAAACTGTTACAAGGAATATATAAACTCAGCATTCCTTAAAGTTAATGTTGGTTGTGAGTTATTTTACTCAGAATCGCATTTGCACGGATATACATGTATGGTTGTTTCAACCAGGTACAATGTAATTGATTCATTCTTTAAATAGTAATTTTATCTTCGAAAGTCCACACTAATTTATTAGTTGAAATAATAAGCATATTTACCATATAAGTAGATTAACTTAACATTTAAACTACACTCGTTTGGTAACAAATACACATGTTTTATGCCAAATAGATTCGTGTTATTAGAATATTGATTTAAAACAGGTAAGTGCATAAAAATGTTTTTATTAATTATTTTTTTTATCGATTGTTTATTTATATTCTAGCACCTGAAATTAGAATTATAGAATAATAGAATAATATCAGTGCAAGGAAAAGATCGGAGGCATTCCGAGTAAGTCGTTCATCTTACGTTCAACGTTCGTTTACTGTTCACTTTGCGTTTGCGCTCCATTCGCGTTCTGCGTTCATTCACAAATCACACATCGTTCACCAAATTGTGTTCAGCGTTCGCACATCGTTCACTCTTCGTGCGCTCTGTATTTGTTCATCGTTCTTTCGTTCACCGTTCAGGTGGGAAAGTAGAATGTTTCAGGGACTTTCATATTATAGATTACATCAATTTGATTGATTGATTGTGTATTGTTAAACTTCCATCTCGAGAATTTTTCACTCATATGGAGACGTCACTGTATGCCGGTGTAGGGCTTCAAATATTGATCTTTACTCGGCACTTAGGGTCATTGAGCAGTGAGGGATCTTTATCGTGCCAACGCCTGCCGCTGCAAGGGGCCTCGGTTTTTAAAGTCTCATCCGAAGGACCCGCATCTTTCACTTCAAAGTGCCGAGCGCATGGCGAAGGAACAGTTGCTATCGACTAGGTCAGTCGCAGCCGAGAAACGAACTCACGACCTCCTGATCACGAAGCGAGCGTTCTACCGACTGCGCTACCGTGAACGGTAACATCAATTTGAAAACATAAATATATAATGTCACAGTACCCATTATTGCCGAAAAATACCACATTTTTGTTTGTCACATCCAAAATATAAGCTTATTTGAAATAATTTCTAAACGTATCTCTGCAATGTTCATTCAATTAAAATGACATATATTTTTCATTTGAAAAAAAGTCCGTCTTGACTTACTTTCTGGCTAAAAATAACCCCCGTCCATGACCTTCGACAAACAGGAAGTAGAGTACCCATTATTGCCGCTTATATCTTTTCCTCGTTATTCGCAAACTAATCGCAGAATAAACCAATCATTTTTAAATTCGTGACAATAAAAGACAGAACAATATCTTAAATGTAAAATTATTTAATTAAAAAAGCAATTTTAATGTTTTATTTTGATTTTTGGTGACCTATTTTTTTTTATGTTGCTCCCACCTCGTGTGCAAAAATAAACATTCGGAGGAACATGTGCCTTGCAGCCTTATCGTTACTGCACAACTATTTTTCCAAGTGGACGCAGTATTATGACAGATAATAGAAAGAGAAGTATAGGCCTCATCGGATGCAGAGCTTAGGCAAACACTTTTTAACCAGTTTTTGCGTATACTTTGCTTATGAACATGATGAACCAGCCTACAAATATTCCTTCCAACATGGTGGAAGGGGATCCGTGTTAAAGCCGAGAGGCTTGAGTTCCATGACGTACTTCCACATCGATGCATATGGCGGTAAACGGATTTCATTGGTCAGTGTCATCTTGATATTTTTGAATAATGTGAAGTATTGATATTATGTTTTTCATGTTCATTAAAATATACATAGAAACATTCCAACCCCCACGCACCTGCACCTCAAATAATGCTCCCGAACTTCAAGTTTGGAGGTGTCACTTCTTCAGCGAGGTTAAGTTACAGTACTTGGATGGTTTTTTATTAAAATAATAATAACTAAAATGAAATGTTCTTGAATTAGGTATAATTTTTAATAATTTTATGAACATGATAAAAAAAATCACTTAGACCTCTGTCCCAACCCAAACATTATGCAACAAACTGCATGCAATGAAGGAAATCTTTAGGAAACTATTAACCTTGAAGAAAATTAACTTCTCAACTGAGAGTCACTTTTATGTGGGATCAGTGAAGATATTATTATTTACTTTATTTATTCAAGAACTTATCATCCTTCTTTATATTTATTGAAGGTCCTTTTCATGTGAATTCAGAAGTTTTCGGAATGAGATATGTGTCATTAGACCTGTTGGTGCTTTCTAGAATATCCACACACTATGGCTGAGGATGTTGTGACTGTCAAGAGGAGCTTCTTTGAGGAAGATGGGAGATGTACAAAGGTATAATGGTACCTTTTAAAAAATAATTATGACATTCTGTGTTTTCGGTCAATATCCCTAGCCTTGAGTCCTTATAACCCAATTTGATATGTATGATGTCCATATGTATAATATAAACTCGAAAAGGTTCTATGAAACTGTGAAGTAGATTTTTATTTTCTGTTACTGTTGTGTTCAAGGATTAATTTTTTTTCACAACTAATATTCAGTATGCACTGTTAATGTTCAAAGTATTTTTAGCAATTAATATTGAAATTTTTATAATTATATTCCATAATCAAATAAAATATTCTTATTTGTATGTTTATTCATTTTGGATTACTGTTCTATATCCCAAAATTGTTTTGTTTTTTAGGTGCATATCAAGCACCTCACTTTGCCTTGCCAGTGACCAAATAGATGGTTGACTAGAGTATCTGAAGACTTTTTAAGGAGTTGAATGTCATACAGACCTCTGCCTATGGCTGCTAAACTAAAGCTTGACAGTTTTATGTGAAGAATTAAAAAATATAGGAGTATTTTAAAAAAGTTTTAACTGTAAATGGAAGTAACTTTTCTCTATTTCTATCTGGATTTAAAAAATGTTTCCACAAATGTACCGGTAAGGGTACATGAAGTAGTCAAAAAGTAACAGATGTAAACTGTACATCTAAAAGATTAAGGCTATGTTATTGAAATAATCTTGATTCTAAAATTGTTGAAAAGTCTGTGTCCATTTTATTATAAAATTATGGCAGCCGTTTTCAAAAGTTATTTAAGGAATAACTGTCAAGTTAGTAGAGAATGCCAGGGGATCAATGATAGTTGGAAATGTGTGATAATTTGCATAACGAGTGAAGCTTACTAATTTGCTAGACAGTGTTACCTTATCTTTCCATTTCATTGTGAAATGACATCGTAAATTCTGATTTTAAAAATATAAACAAATAAATTCAAATGACAGGAGTCTACCGGTGTCAATTTCAATACGTTATATCGCGACTACCAATGAGTACCTTGCAGTTATCTAACTTACTACCGCTCTTTTGCGGGGGAGTCGAGAAAAGTCTACATTTCTTGGGGCATATAAAATTGTTTACAGTAGTGACAATCGAATGATTCGAACAATTTAATGCCGAAATCACGATGTTTTGCCAGATATTGGGCTCCAAATAGTAGGTTGTCAAATAAGGAAAGTTTAGAATATTTGATCTGCTTAAAAATGTGACGATTTTCAATCAAAATTTAACGAGAAGAGTCTGCTTAATTAAAAATATCGTTAAAAATATGATAATTAAAGATTGGCTCCTCTCAAAAATATATTAGGCTGGTTAAGCGATTGTTTAGCGAGGTATTCCACCAGGATTTTTTACTTATCTGTCCTTATAAATGCTGCAATGATCCATCTTGCATTGTATTGAAAAGCACATTGTCCCCACCCAACAGACGATTCCTACCTCCTTCGCGAAAGAGTTCTGCTAAGTTAAGTAATCGCGATATCAAGTATTGCCCCCTCCCCCATTGGTGTTAAACAAAAAGACAGCCACACAAGATTTACATGCATATTGGACCTTCTAAATGTCAGACACAAAGACAGATGCATGAGATTGAATGTACTAGCCTCAGGTACCTTATGATTGTTGATGTATGTACATGTATCGTTTTGCAATGCTTGGTACAGAATTAGGATTTAGGCATTTACTATCTATGTCAAATAAACAAAATTATTTTCATGTATTAAAAAAATATGAATTGAATTTTAACATTTTCAGTTACACATATGTATCTTGATGTAGCTTGTAAATGAAACACTTCCATCATGTGTTTGTTTCCGTCTTGTCTTTTATGATAGTACTACGAAAAAAAAATGTTTTTGAACTGTTATTACATTCCACTTAAATTAAGCTCAGTAAGTAGAATTTTTATATCTACCATAAACCATAAACAATTTTGAATGCATGTATTTCTAATTCTTCTGCATTTTTCACAGGTAATCTTTATGCTAGCTTTTATTCCACCTTCTTTAATATTAAATTAAAAAAAAAACATTAATTCCACTGAGAAAAATTAGATTGCAATGCAGATCCTATTTTTCACAGAGAATTTGTCCCTCATGTTTCAGAAGTTTTATGATCTATGAAGTATACAATATATTTGGCAATGTATATTTTTTTTTATTTATTTATTTTAGTAAACAATTTGTTCCCACTTCAGAAGCAGTCTATTAGATAAAAATGCATTTGTTATGGTTAGGGAAAAAATATTTTGACTTTGCTTAACTTTAATTTAAGGTACTCTCCAAACCATTGGAGTGGGTGTTATCTTGTGACCTACAAGCTTCTTTTTCACAAGTTGCAAGATGAACAAATAAAACAAATAAAACAGCTACAAAACATTTTAATTTTCTAAAAAAGTGTTTTTGTTAAATTTGTATTAACATGTGCATTTGTTATTGTATATTTATGGACTATAAATAACTACAAAAAAGTTCAATAAATACTGCATTATTAAGATTTCAAATATTTTCAATTCATCATATGTTTCTTAACTGAATTATTTCATGTGTGTATATCTTTAAAATTCACAAAATTAAAGTTCATGTTTGTTACAGTTTGTGTCAATAGCTAAGTGTAACCAAGGTATTTATTAGTTGAAAGATTTTTGTTCAGTCATAAAGTATGACTAGAGGCTTTGGACCTTTCAGCCCCAGGGTTTCAGTTTCCAATTTTTGTAGCTATAAAATTTGAATAGGGATTTTGTAAAAAAAAGTATCTGAAGGAAATAAAGTAGCTTGCACCCCCTCCTAAAAAGATCTTCATTTTTCATATTTATTCTGTGTGATCTTTTGAAGAAAAAAAAATAATTAGAGCAAGTTATTAATTTATTTTATCGTTTCTTAAAGGATGGATCCAGGATATGTATTTATACTCTCATGCAGCATGTCATCCAGAACTTGTGAATTTTTTTTCTGATATTTCCATTTATAAATAATTTTTTTATAAAAAAAAAATAAATAAATATGACACTTCCTGCTTGTTATTTTAATTTAAAAAGTTGTCCATAAAATTTTTAGGCGATATGCGCAAATATAAATCGATAGAAATAACCTAATTGCAGAATTAATAAGAACAGGTGCGTGTGGTGGATTTTGATCCGCTCCCCTCTTAATACAAAAATGGCGTCGTATAGCAGACGCTTCGAACTGACGGAACTCATCGTAATTTTCGTAAATTGCTGCAAGTAGAAATATTATCTTGGATAATTTCGGTTAGTACCAGTGCACACAGGAAAATATTCATTCGATTTTCACCAAAACATGACCGATTCTGTCAGGAAAGTGGAATTCTAGTCGAAAATTCTTTGGCATGTCTTGTCGCACGACTGCTTTTTTTGGTGTTTTCAAAGACTTGAAATATCACCGGTGAGTTTATTAATTCTGAACAGCTTTTTCTTTATCCGAGACGATCGATGGTTTGAAAAAATTGTGTAATTTATGTATCTTGCCAAAACAATTATAAATAACTACCGTTTAACAGATTTTTAAACCAAAAAAAACGAAAATCGGCAATAATGGGTACTCGGCAATAATGGGTACTCGCACGTTAATTCAAAAATAATACACAGGAATACATCTTCATGCTTAATTCTACTTACGAATGTCTTGAAACAGTTACTTACAAGATACATGTATCGGTGGGGATGTTGGTAGGTACTCCAGTTAACCGTTTATGATAACAGTCTACAGCTGTCCCATTACAGAGACCACTCTTCCCGCAGCTACAGACAGTAGGACAGGCTTTATTCACTGGTACGTGCATCGGAACACAGAAAACTAACGTCCAAACAATCAGATTCATTTGGGAATCAAGACAATATGTTCCCGATGAATCCTCTATTACTTTGTAAATGTTTTTTAGCGTGATAATAAATTCCTATGTGTTATTCAATGCGGAAACATTTCATTTATAGCATTTTTGTATCAAAAAGTGACTTTATTATGGAGTACATGTACATGTACATGTATATGTTAGTTTCACTTAAGATGTTACTACGCAAATAGATAAAAAGAATAATATGTATTTAAAACTACAAATATTGATTATGCACTTTATGCTCATGAGTCTCAATGAAACAAATGCAAACATAAAAACAAGATACTGTATTTTTCCTATCGTACGATTATTATACCTTAAATGAAGACAAAACATATATAGCTGTTATATTTGATCCCAAGATCCCAGGGATAAATACCTAGTTTAAATAATCAATAATTAATAGACCTTTGCAATTTAAAATTTCATAAGAACCCCAAATCACACTTAAAATGACAGGAAGGAATTCTAAAATCAAAATTTCGATAATTGACAACAGGAAAGTTAACTAAATGTTGTGCTAGTATTTTTACAGGGGTCGAATGGTTTCTAAATGTCAAAAGATTGCTCTAATCTAATAAGTAAAGTAACTGGACCATCAGGACTCAGGTGACTGTAAAATGTTAAACTATTGATATAATTAAATTTGTGTAGTGACAAGACCTTCAACAGTTTGAATTTTATGTTCAACTTACGGTTGGTTAATTTTTGTACTTTTTGAGAGAGAAGGAGAGACAGAGAAGTAGATACATTTTATCAATCAATAGTTGTCTTTTGGTTGTTAAAAAATCTACTCAATGGATAAAATTTTAAAAAAAGTCAATGACTGAAATCTAGTCATAAAAATTTACATATACAAAATTTTAAGGATACATCTGGATTTTACAATTTGCGTATTTCCATTGGAATCTGATTTCTGATTTATACTGTGAATACTAATATACTGTTTTCATAGAAAAGGCAATATATTTGAATAATAATGCCTGTCTGTCTCTCTTTTAATTTAATTGTTTATCTTAAAGTAAATTAAACTCTAAAGAGGATTTCAGAACAGTATGTTTTTAAACTGGTATTGATGATACAGTTGAAATTCTATGGAATGCAATCTCCTTGAAATTCTATGGTATGCAATCTCGTTGAGATTGAATACTGTTCGTTATTTCCATATCCTTCATGGGATTGGATAAAGAAAGAGTTTTTCAAAAACAAAAACATTGTGCATTTGCTAGAGCTGCAATTTCTTTACTTTGGTGTCTATTTCAGGGCTGGGACAGGGCTGCTCTATACATAAAAGTTTAACCTTTGGTCATGGGTATTGATGTTGGAGAAGTATTTTTTTTTTCAAATTAATAGGTTATCCAAACATGAAAAAAAGATTATACATCAGAAAGTTATCACCTTTATAGATTACGAGATAATCAATTTATTAACTTTCAAGAGGTACATCTTTGAAAATTTATAATTTGATGTGTGTCATATATAATATAAAAAGTTGCTTATCAGTTATTACCGACATAACGACAGGCCCCCTTATCTTGAACATTGGACTTTACGTATCAGATAAAAACGTACGTTACACAGTTTTTGTTTTGTATTCATTAAGTCTAATCTTTTTTGATGATAGGAGATACTTATGTCTGATTCTAATTTATAAGTTATGCAACCACTAAGTACTTGAGGAAATGATAAAGTTTCAAACGGTATCGTGTTTGTTTGATTTTTATCCGTTTGGAAGCTTTTCGTAAATCTTAACATGTATGACTAGAGTTTCGATCTTTCAAACGCATATCTTTATCAGACAAGTCGACGCGGTTCGATGCATGATCAAGACTAATTTCCATTGTTGTATGCAAACTTGGGAGCAAATTTC